TTTCTCTTAAGTTGCGCGTATTTCTTGTTTATTCTTAGTTTTTCAACATGGTTTGTTACCTCTATGAAGATTGTCTTGTTTGCGTCATATTTTCTAATGTTTTTTTTTTTTATCAAGGTACATTTGTGGATGTAAAATATGCTTAATCTATACTGTGGAGTGATAAAGGCCAGTGATAGGGCAGTATATGTGATAGTGTGAACAAACTGTTGTTTAACAAAAATATATCTACAATCTCTCTCTGTATAATTTCTTACAACTGCATGTGACTCTACAGTGATCTCAAAATACAAAGTTTAACTTCAAAAAGGCAATGAGAGAAAAGTAAAAAATACCTAAGGTGGCCTTGCGTTCAATTCTAGCAACAGACAAAGTTGAGAAGCACACATAACAGATATGAACAGTAGTTATCTGTGGAACATGATATATTATGGTGGAGCTTTGATTTGTCTTTTTGTTTGTATTTTCTGATGCTCAGACAATTAACATATATTTTGTAGAATAAACACAACTATACGTTAATAACTTTAGAATAGATACTGACTTTAAAAGAAAATAAAAACAAGCTATTTCCTAGCATGCAAAAAAAGGACAATTCTAAATTGCTAGAGAGCCAATTAGAGCTTCAGTTGCGGGTAGGAGTTGCATGATGCAGCTGATGTCTTAGTCTGCTGCCCTCCCAACACAGGAACAGAAAGCAATTCCAAGAACAAGTCATCTGATTAACATCCTTACCTCAGGTGCTACTAGATCCCCTTCTGCCTCACCCATCCTGACCTTTTTTTCTGTCTCATTCCTCATCTTTTTCATTTCTTCTCTCACCCTGCCTCCTACCAGCCACCTCTTTTCCTCTCCTTTTTCCTTTCTGTCTTTTTCCTTTCCTTTACGCCTTATTTTCCTTTCTTTCTCTTTCCTTTCTCACACTATAATTGGCCATAATTGAGAACAAAGGTGAATCTATTTGTTGTATCTTTTGAAAAGTATTAGGTTTGTCTCCATTGTAGAAAAATTAGAAAACATTTGATGATGAAGGAGAGACTGTGTAACCTTACCATCTTTAATCACTAATCTTTTGATCTTATTCATATTTTCTGTGCAAACATCAAAATTTTAACTAAAATGCTATACTACAAATAATATTTTATAATCTTTTAAACCTGTGTCAATATATACAAATCTATAACTTTTTAAGTTGCCTAGTACTATATTGTATGGGGATACCACGATGCCCTGCAATGCACATCTTTTTCTCACTTGTTCAATTATTTCTTTAGGCTAAATGCCTAGAAGAGGAATTAACGGCCAAAAGGCATTCACACATTTTTTTTTTTTTTTGAAATGGAGTCTTGCTCTGTTGCCCAGGCTGGAGTGCAGTGGCCGGATCTCAGCTCACTGCAAGCTCCGCCTCCCGGGTTTACGCCATTCTCCTGCCTCAGCCTCCCGAGTAGCTGGGACTACAGGCGCCCGCCACCTCGCCCGGCTAGTTTTTTGTATTTCTTAGTAGAGACGGGGTTTCACCGTGTTAGCCAGGATGGTCTACGATCTCCTGACCTCGTGATCCGCCCGGCCTCGGCCTCCCAAAGTGCTGGGATTACAGGCTTGAGCCACCGCGCCCGGCCTCATTCACACATTTTTAAAGCTTTCTATACCCATTGTCAAATTGCCCTCTAAAACGCTTATACCAATTAAATCTCACTCCTGCAGTGCATGAGGCTTCCCATATTGCCCCAGTCCTTATAAACACCGATATTATCAATACTTTCAGGCTTTGCTGTATCTTTTGAATATAGGTTCATTTTCCTCATTCTCAATTTTAAAAGCAAATAATCCGGTGTTTGATGTTTTGAGTTCTTAAAAATACTAAAATAAGTTGCTTTCTACTCAAGTGCTGCTGTTGGCAGTTTTTTTTTTTTTCTTTGGGTCAGAACCCCTGATAGAAGTAAGGTTACACATTCCTGTTCTATATTTTTCCTTGCCTCAACCTCTGTCACCCTGTACTTGGACAGGTATCCCTCTCTACTCCATTCTACATTCCATTAGTGCATTTCAGATGCTTTCTATCTGCCTCTCACTTGATTTCTTTCAAATCTTAGATACCAGTTACAAAGTATGAGTTCAATTATAACTCTTCCATTTCTGTCAGTATCATCATCATCATCTTCATCCACATCTATAATTATTTTGAAGTTTCCAAAGGGATTCCTTTTTTTTTTTTTTTTTTTTTTGAGACGGAGACTCACTCTGTTGCCCAGGCTGGAGTGCAGTGGTGTGATGTCATCTCACAGCAACCTCCACCTCCCAGGTTCAAGCGATTCTCCTGCCTCAGCCTCCCGAGTAGCTGGGATTACAGGTGGCCACCACCACGCCCGGTTAATTTTTGTGTTTTTAGTAAAGACAGGGTTTCACCATGTGGGCCAGGCTGGACTCGAACTCCTGACCTCAGGCTATCCGCCCACCTCAGCCTCCCAAAGTGCTGGGATTACAGGTGTGAGCCACTGTGCCCAGCCTCCAAAGGGATTTCTAATACATCAACTCCTCACAACCATCCTATGAGTTAAGTTGAGCACCTATGAGCCTGAGCTTTGGAGTCAGACAGGCCTGGGTTGAAATCCTGAACCATTGCTTAACAGCTCCGAGCTCACTTTCTTTGCCTGTAAAGTGGAGATAATAATACTTCAGAGGGTTGTTTCGAGGTCTAAATAGCATATGTAGAGTTACTAGAGCAGTCCTATTATTGACAGGTGTAATAACTGAGACCCAGAGAAATCAAGAGATTTGTGCAAGTCCTATTCAGGTCCAGGTATTCTGGCCCTAAATATTATTGTTTCTCTTTTTCATGATAAAATATTTCAGGCATAGAGAATTATGTAATGAATACCCTGTACTCATCACCAAGCTTTAAAAAGAATAACAGAAACAAACTAAAGTCTCCTGTGTGTCCTTCCCTGATCCAGTTTGCCTTCCTCCCTCCCTACTCACTGCTTCTCCTCCTTCTCTCCTCCCTCCCCAGATAATGACTATCCTGAATTTGGTGATTATTCTCTTGATGGCTCCATACTTCTACTCCATATTTATGTGTCTATGATCAACTTTGATATTGTCATCATCATGCTTTTAAACTTTATATAACCGGTAACATACTGTACCTATCATTCTGCAGCTAGATATTTTGTTCAGTAGCTTTTTTTTTTTTTTTTTTTGAGACAGAGTCTCACTCTGTCACCCCTGCTGGAGGGCAATGGTGCAATCTCAGCTCACTACAACCTCCGCCTCCCGGGTTCAAGCAATTCTCCTGCCTCAGCCTCCTGAGTAGCTGGAATTACAGGTGTATGCCACCATGCCCGGCTAATTTTTGTGTTTTAGTAGAGATGGGTTTTCACCATGTTGGTCAGGCTGGTCTCGAACTCCTGTTCTCAAGCGATCTGCCCACCTAGGCCTCCCAAATTGCTGGGATTACAGGCGTGAGCTACCGTGCCCAGCCTTGTTCAATAAATTTTGAGATTTAACCATGTTGACACAGGTCTTAGTCTGTTTGTGCTGCTACAGCAAAATACCTGAGACTAGGTAATTTATAAAGAACAGAAATTTATTTTCTCACAATTCTGAAAGCTAGGACGTCCAAGATCAAGGCTCTAGCAGGTTCTGTTTTCTGATGACGGCTGCTCTCTGCTTCCAAGATGGTGCCTTATTACTGTATCCTCCAGAGGGGAGAAACATTGTGTCCTTACATGGTGGAAGGTGGAAGGGCAAAAGGTCTCCTTTATAAGGGTCTTAATCCCGTTCATAAAGGAATTCATGAACAAAGAAGCCCCATGATCTAATCACCTCTTAATGGCCATCTTAATACCATCACAATGGTCATCAACTTTCAACTCCTGAATTATGGAGAGGCCACATACAAACCACAGGGCATTCTTTGAAGTTCTAGTTCATTTATTTCAACCTTGGTTTAGTGTTCCATTTTGTGAATATACCATACATTTTTTACCAATTCTCCTGTTGATAGATTTTTAGATTATCTCCAGTTCATACACTATGAGCAGATTTAATTTTACTGGATAATCCCAAATAGTTTTGCAAATTGGTTGCATTAATACTCCCACCAGCAGTATGTAAGAACTCCTTTTGCTCCACATCTTCATTAACATGTAATGTTGCCAGATTTAACATTTTTTGACAATCTGATGTGTGTGAAATCTTATCTCGTTGTGGTTTTAATTTGCGTTTATCTGATTACTAATGAAACTAAATATGTTTTCATATGTTATTGGCCATTCCTTCACATTCTTTGCACACTTCTGCAAGGGCCTCTTCACATTCTTTGCACACTTTTATACTGGTACATTATTATTGTTGACGTGTGGGAGTCCTTACATATTTTGGACGCTAAACTTCAGTGTGTTATATGTGTTGCAAAGATTTTCTCCCAGGCTTTCCATTTTTTCTTTGTTTATAAAGACTTTGAACATAAAGAAGACTTTGTTTATAAAGACTTTTAATATAAATCTTACTGCAGTCAAATGTATTAATAATCTTTTTCTTTGTGCCCATAGCCTTCGATCTTTTTTTTTTTTTTTTTTTTTTTTTTTTTTTTTGAGACAGAGTCTTGCTCTGTCGCCCAGCCTGGAGAGGGCAGTGACGACGCGATCTTGGCTCACTGCAAGGTCCGCCTCCTGGGCTCATGCCATTATCCTGCCTCAGCCTCCCGAGTAGCTGGGACTACAGACGCCTGCCACCATGCCCGGCTAATTTTTTGTATTTTTTTTTTTTTAGTAGAGATGGGGTTTCACTGTGTTAGCCAGGATGGTCTCGATCTCCTGACCTTGTGATCCACCTGCCTCGGCCTCCCAAAGTGCTGGGATTACAGGCGTGAGCCACCGCGCCCGGCCAGCCTTCGATCATATTACACAACCTGTCTGTGTCTTCTTGACTCAGTTAAGATTCCCCTTCCCACTCAGGCCTGACAGGCCACTCTCTTCCTCCTATGTCTGCAGTGTTTGTCATGTTGACATGTGCCTTTCGCTATGGCCGTGATGACTTGGAAGTGATTGGTCTGACATTCCGAAAAGATCTGTATGTGCAGACCCTGCAAGTGGTCCCAGCTGAATCCAGCAGCCCTAAGGGGCCCCTCACAGTTCTACAGGAGCGACTGCTGCACAAGCTAGGGGACAATGCCTACCCCTTTACCCTGCAGGTACTGACCCCAAGCCCTGGGCAGGCAAGGTCTCCAGGGAAGATTAAGAGAGGAAGCTCAAGAAGGACAAGGGAGAGGGTTCCCTATTTCTTTTGCATTTGTTTGTATTCTTTTCTTTTCTACTTCTTTTCTGATCTCCTTTTTGTCCCCTAGATGGTGACCAACCTGCCCTGTTCTGTGACACTGCAGCCAGGTCCTGAAGATTCAGGAAAGGTGAGGACTAGGTTCTAAGAAAGAAGGACAGATGGTAGTGCCAGGGAAGAGGAACAGTGGGATAGTCAAGACTGGAGAAATGGACAGCTAAGGAAAGAGGTCAGGCATTTTCTTATAGGCCCATGAGGAAGGGAGGACAGCACTGGAAATTAGCTCTCTTTGCCCTTGTCCTTTTACAGCCCTGTGGGATTGACTTTGAAGTGAAGAGTTTCTGTGCTGAAAACCCGGAGGAGACAGTCTCCAAGAGGTATTCTTTGGTTGTCCCCAAAAATCCCTGCCTCCAGCCTCTGCCAGGAAACAGATCCTGCTCTCATGACAGAAATAGCCCCACTTCTAACCTCCACAGCATCATCGCCACCAGTGACGCCCGGTTCTGAGCCCCCTCTGACTTATCTTCTTTGATCTAGGGCAGGGGTCAGCGAACTTTTCTGTAATGGGCCAAAAAAAACAGTATTTCTCTGTTGCATGTACTCAACTCTGCTGTTGTAGTGCAAACGCAGTCACAGATAGTATAGAAATGAATGAGTGTGGCTGTGTGTCCAATAGAACTTTACTTATGAACACTGAAATTTGAATTTCATGTAATGTCCACATGTCATAAAATAGCATTGTTCTTTGATTTACTTCAACCATTTACAAATGTAATATAACCATTCTCAGCTCGTGGGCCATAGGAAAACAGGCATCAGGCCAGATTTGGCCAGTGGCCACAGTTTACTAACCTTTGGTCTACATACTTGCATTAAGGGACTAGAAAAGTTCTCTGAGGGAGGCCTTCCTCTGCTCCCATTCTTAAGTAACGATTGGACTATGGGGGTGGCATGGGAGAGGTCTGTGGGTCTGAAAGGAGGACGCTCTGGCTAATCCCTTGGTCTCTGCTCAGAGACTATGTGCGGCTGGTTGTCCGGAAAGTACAATTTGCACCACCAGAGGCAGGCCCTGGCCCCTCAGCCCAGACCATCCGCCGCTTCCTTCTGTCAGCTCAGCCCCTACAACTCCAGGCCTGGATGGACAGTGAGGTTTGTGACCCCCACTTTTTGCCTTCCACCCCAGAACCCCTCTGATGCCCTTTCTTCACTGATTTCCTACTTGGGCAGGCAGAGATGGGAGCCAGGGTGACAACAGTGCTAAGGAAGCAGGGGTTCTAGGTCTCCATCTGTGCATTCTTCCTCCAGCCTTGACATGGGTCCCTCCTCCTGCTTTAGGTTCACTACCATGGAGAACCCATCTCTGTCAATGTTTCCATCAACAACTGCACCAACAAGGTCATCAAAAAAATCAAGATTTCAGGTGAGTTTCTTTTTCCATCCCTGTGCACCTGGTCCCAAAGCCACAGGTCTTTTTCCAAAATTCTGCCTCACTTACCTGTCTGCATTCATCTAGGCTTTCCCTCTAACATGGGCTTGTCAAAATGCATATCTTATTTTGTCAATGAGCATGTCTTACTGCATCATGTATAGTGTGCCTATGTATAAGGTCACAACTAAGGACACTGAGCTGGGGTCTCAAGGATGACTGACTGATATAATCATGTGCTTTTCCTGGCTTGTTCAGTTGACCAGACCACAGATGTTGTCCTGTATTCACTAGACAAGTACTCCAAGACTGTGTTCATTCAGGAATTCACGTGAGCTGGCGCTGGGGCTAGGGTCAGAGAGCCAAGGGGTGGGGTGGTGGAAAGAGGTCCAGGAAGCAGGTGAGGGGGTTGGGGGAAAAAGGGTGGTGGAAGATCCCAGGGAGGGATTCCCAGGAGAATTAGATGGAGGAGATGCAACTTACCCCCAGGAATCCCATCACGATGCTGAGCGAGGGCAGGGGCATAAGGATTTCCCACCAGAACTAATTCCCCCCAGTCTTCACAGTTAAACATGTCACCTCTCTTGGATACTCCAGTAGGTTCTTGTATAATCTTGTACAAGATACTCTTGGGAGTAAAAGTATGCTTAGTCAGCAAGCCCAGCCTAGATTCTTCTCTTGTTCTTCTTTTGAAGGGAGACTGTAGCTGCCAATTCCAGCTTCTCCCAGAGCTTTGCAGTAACCCCAATCCTGGCTGCCAGCTGCCAGAAACGGGGCCTGGCACTGGATGGCAAACTTAAGCATGAAGATACCAACCTGGCCTCTAGCACGATGTAAGCTCAAATGTAACTCTCAGCCTCCATTTCCCACCCCTCCACCATTCTACATGCTACATTTACAGCTCTGACGTTTCATCTTCAGTGAAGCCTATCCATTTTTTAAAGTGTCTCCAGGGCAGTGTTCAGAGACTCCTCCAGGCCTAAGGGCCGGCAGTAAGCTCAATAATGCCTGTGGGACCAACGGCAGGCTTAGGTCATAGGCAGAAAAAAGGAAAACATGGAGAGGAAAGCAATCCTTATGTTGTATACGATTTCACAGTTCACAAAGGTCCTACATATGTACTATGTTATCTTTGTGAGAACCCCACTAAAGTAGCCTGGATAGGTGTTCTTATTTCCTTTTACACTTAAGGACCCTGAGGCTCAGAGAGAAGAAGGAATTCATTTAAGGTGGCATCGCTGTTAAGTGGTAGACGTAGACAGGATTATATCACATGTCATCCGGCTCTGAATACTGTGATCTCTACAGAAGCTACTCTCTAGAAAAGATAAAGATGGAGTAGAAGACTAGGAGATGAGAAATGGAGGAAAAGGAAGGCAAAAAAGGAAAATGATGCAACAGGAATGAATAGAATTCTAGGAAGTCATTCACTTGGTTCTGTGCCTTCGGAGGCCCTAGTGTTAGATGTGTCTCCCACCAAAAACCACCTGCCACCATCTGTCAAGTGTAATCCTTCCATCTCTCCCTACCCTTATCAATCAAGTAGCTATAGACTGTTATTGCTAGAAATACCATTAGAAATCATCCAAACTGCATTATTTTATATGTAAGAGATCAGCAGCCCAGAGCAATGAAGAGATTTTCTCAAACTCATACAGCTTTCAGTGTCTTATTTTTCAATCAGTGGGTTTTTTACTGAACACCTATTACATGCTCATTCCTATGCTAAGCAATGTGGAGAATACAAAGAAGTTTAAGACAGCCTTCAGTCAATTTATGGCCTAGATGAGGAACAAAGAGAGATGCAAATACAACCCAACAGTTAAATGTTAGTGCACGTGGTTCAGAGTAAAAGTGCCACAAAGTTAAAAGAAGCCAGGAGAGCTGGTGAGGGCTTCCTGGAGGAGGTAGAATGAGCTAGATCTTGAAGAATGTGAAGGATCTGGATACCAACAGAGGAAAAAAGAGAGCATTCTAGACTAGGGACACAGCATGGGCCAAGGCTAGAAGGTGGGAATCCACATGGCATGTTCTGATCACGGAGAGAAGATGGGTCTGCTTAGGTTGTATCCCAGGAGTTAGGGCAGAAAAGGTTAGAGAGGCTAGATAGGGCAAGGTCGTTAGGGGTCTTGAAAGTCAGGCAGACTAGTTGTTATATTCAAAATGTAGGCTCTTGAGCAGAGGGTGACATGGTAAAAGTGAATGTTAGGAAGAGAAATGTGGTCTCAATGGGTAGGAGAGGTTAGAGCCTGGGAGATATTCTACGATAAGACTAAACATAATAGGGTGTGGTGATGGGAATGCATGAGAAGAAACTGGGGACTGAATGAATTACTCCTCATGCTCCTAAACACCCCAAAACGAATACTACAACCTCCAGTATTAGACCTGGAATGGACAAAGAGCTGCTGGGGATCCTGGTGTCCTACAAAGTCAGAGTCAACCTGATGGTGTCCTGTGGTGGGTAAGTGAGGGTTCTGGGTCTGTCTGGGAAGGGGCTGAGGAGTCAAGGGTTTTTCGCTTCTGTTTTTCTCCCAGTTAGATTGACCCAATCAAACCATTCCCCACCCCTTCTCCCAGACCAGGTTTCCAAAACGGTGAGCTCAGTGAGCAAGTCACTTTCCCTTCCAGAAACCCATTCTGTGGCTGGCTCATTAGGTCTTATGATCCCTCATCCCCTAGTGAAACTAGGTTGCCCCTTCTGTATTTCCTGCTGCTAATTTTGGGTGTCATTCTACCCACAGCATCCTAGGAGACCTGACAGCCAGGTGAGAGACTGTGGGGTGGGGGGACTTGGGCAAGAAGAGGAGGACAAGGGGATAAGGAGAGCAAAATGATTGATTCGGGAGGGTCTGAGGGCATCCAAAGACTGGAAAACTAAGGGAGGGAGGTCCAGGGATTGGGCTTGTAGAGAGAGGAGATGTAACTCCACCTTGGGATCCTTACAGCGATGTTGGTGTGGAGCTACCCTTGGTCCTGATCCATCCGAAGCCATCTCAAGGTGAGTGACCAGGTGGAACTCACAGGAACGGTTGTCCTGAGGACTGGGGTCCAAGCCATTCTGATCTCATGAATTGGAGACTAGCAGTTTGCCTGGGGATGGAATAGCAATAGGTAGGCTGGGTGTCTAGGTTTTCAGGGGAAGTGTGTGTGTCGTGTGTGCTGGAGACGAAGGATTGGGAAGGGGGAGGGGGAAGTAAAGATACTTCTTCAGGGAACCGAAGAGCCCCTAATCAGCTTCAGCTCCATTTTTTCCCTCCCTCTCCATGCTTGCTACAGAGGCTGCTAGGTAATGGAATACAAGACTGGGAAGCCCCATTCCCCTCTTCCCATTGCCACCCTCCATGTTATGATGATGGAAATGTGAAAATGCTTCCCTGGGGTGCTTTCAATACGTGTGCAGTGGAAACATATGGCTTAGCTTCGTGTCACAGTTCGGTGCTTTTCATATGCCCTCCTTTCCCTTTCTGCATCCCCCCCGCCCTCCACCTTCTGCTCTTGTTGGAATCATCCTTCCCCCTCATCCCCTTCCCATTTTTCTTTTTCCTTTTCCCCCACCCCCTCGCCCTTACTTCTTTCGTCTTTCATTCTTTGATACCTTCCCTCCTTCCCACCCCTCATCCTTATTTCCCTTCCAGTGCTCCTGGGGGACTTTTGTGCTGGGAAATTTGGGCGGGAATGGAAGGAAACAAGCCAGAGTGGCTGATGGAGGAGTGGGGGCACCAAGAGGGGGCCGAGGAGCCTAGCTGGGAAGCAGGGAGGGGATCACTTTTCTGGGATCAGGAAAAAAGAGTGGACACGGAGGACACCCAGAAAGGGGTTCCTAACCCTCCATTCTCTTCTGCTGCTTCTGCAAGCTCTGAGGACATAGTCATCGAGGAGTTTACGCGGAAAGGCGAGGAGGAGAACCAGAAGGCTGCGGAGGCCGAGGGAGATGAGGGGAGCTGAGCACCTCGCTCTGGTGCCTGTCTGTGTGGGAGCCCCCACTGTAACACTCTAATAAATCAGTGTGTTCAGATGTGCCTGGCGATCTCTTGCCTATTTCCTCTTCCTGGAGGATCATGGAACTGCTGAGAACAATCTTCCCCACCTCCACCCCTTCGCCGTGATTACACTACACTTAGCCCGTGCTTTTCCCTTACACTGACCCCAACTTCCTGTGACACGGTCAGCGGCCATCCCTCTCTCCACCCCATGACCCCACTCTAGTGGCCATAGGATTGCGCTGAACACGAGGCACAGTGCAAGCTGTGAGGAGGGGGCCGAGGGGGCGTGGCCGTGCCCAGGCCTGGGTGTGAAGCCAATGGCCGTCAGCGGACGTCAGTAGAGTATGGCATGACGTCTGGCGGCGCAGGCTGAGCGTCGGAAGCCATTTTGGCTGCCACCTACCTGAAGCGATGTCTGCCTTTGGTCACGACAAGGCCTGGATGGAGGCCGGAGGCTTTGGCCTGGAGGCCGCCGAAAGAACCGAATACCAGTCTCTGTGCAAATCTAAACTCTTATTCCTGGGAGAGCCGAGCGGTGCGGGTCTGGGTTGGGCTTTGGGGACAGGGAGGTGTAATTGGTATGAAATGGGGTGGGGCATTCTCTGGGGAACCGAGTTCCTCCTTGTTGGGAAAGGTTGGAGTGGGAAGAGGGAGGGCTCATAGAAACATTGGGGGGAGAAAGGGCACCGAGGGCAACGATTGGCCTGCTTAACTCCCTCACAGTAGGGAAGACATCCGTCATCACCCGCTTCATGTACAACAGCTTCGGCTGCGCCTGCCAGGTAAGCCCATCACCAAGTCATATGGTACATTTTTGCCGCTCTTCTTGGCGGACTCACCTGGAGATTCTCCTCCTCAAAGTTATGTATTATAAGCATTGGGAAGTGGAGCCAGGACAACTTCTTGAAGGGTCATTCTCCACTTTGGGTTCTAAGACTGCCTCATATTGGGAATAGAGGGAATGCTGGAGTGTCTCTCACTTTCTTTTGTAGGCAACTGTTGGAATTGACTTCTTGTCTAAGACCATGTACTTGGAGGACCAAATAGTGAGTGTTAACTCTCATACCACAAACCCTACACTTCAACCCCTTAGGCCTATTCATCACAGTTGGGTAGCACCATCAAAAAAACTGAAGCCTCTTCAAATTACCAAGCCCTATGATGTTTCTTGTTCTGCCTGCCTTCATCTAATCTCCAACTGTAACATAAACTCCAAGAGACCTTGAATCCTTAAATCTGCTGTGCTGTAGGGTCTTCCTGAATCAAAACAGTATATTGAAATTGGTTGGACCTGTCCTAGGACTATAGGCCACTTGGTTTGAGGCTATAGCAGCCACTTCTCAGGGATCCACTCTCCCCGACCTTTTGTATTCTGCCTTTATTAGGTCTGAGCTTTTTAAAAAGGCTAGTTTCTTTTCTACCTTTCCCCATCTTCTTCCTGAACATTTGTTTTATGCAGGTTCAGCTGCAGCTATGGGACACAGCTGGCCAGGAGCGCTTTCACAGCCTAATTCCTAGCTACATTCGTGATTCAACTATTGCAGTGGTTGTCTATGACATCACAAGTGGGTGTTATGCAATGTTTTATTTCAAAAGGGGATTATAAAGAGATTGATAGGGAGATTGATAAAATTAGCAGAGAGGAAGTGTTCTCTCCAAATCTCTCCTAAATGTTTCAACGCTCTGCAACATATTCTCTTGCAGACATCAGTTCTTTTAAGGAGACAGATAAGTGGGTAGAACATGTACGAGCAGAAAGAGGTGACGATGTTGTCATCATGTTGGTGGGTAACAAGATTGATTTGGATAACAAAAGGTAAAGTATAACTACAATTTCTTCTGGCATACCTAAAATTCAGTCTCTATGGGGAGGGTCAACTGTGTTCTATTTACTTGGGGAGGAGTTACCTTAGTCTCCTCTGCCCACTACCAGCACTGCAGGAGGGGAAGGACAGGGGGGCGTCCCATCAGGGCACAAGGATATGTGGGGGGTATAGGAGAGAGTCCTCACCCTGTAATCAGATGGGTCATGGGTTTAAGCCTTCTAGAGTTCCTGGCGCTAGGTAAGCATCATTACACCTCAGAAGAATCTATCCATATCCAATAACTCTGGCCCTTTTCATCATTTCTGATTCGTCCAGACAAGTCACTGCAGAAGAGGGTGAAGAAAAATCCAGAAACCTCAATGTGATGTTTATTGAGACCAGTGCCAAAACCGGTTACAACGTGAAAAAGGTAATACTTGTTTCTTTCTATAATACTTTAACTGCACTCTGTCTGTAGCTACCACCACTGTTTACTCTTTTGGATAACCTTGGCTTATCTTTTGCGGGGTGGGGGTCAAGATTCATCTCCCCATCATGTATCTCAAAGGCCCTGAATTATTCCAGCCTCTGAACCTGACCTTTTTTTTTCCTTTTTTTTTTTTTGGTCACCATTCACACACACACAGCTGTTCCGGCGTGTGGTTTCTGCCCTTCTTTCCACAAGGACTTTACCTCCACCGAAAGAGGGGAGTATCCTTTTTCCTAGCTTTGCTGGGGTAGGGAGTATACAAGTAGAGAAGGTAAGTTTCCTTTGCTGAGCTGATGCCTGAGTGGTACTTAAGGGGAAAACAGGACTAACTTTAGCCCAAAGTAGTTCGCTGGTTTGCCTTTAGGTGAGAGGGATTGTAAGATCAGAATTCCTCTTCTACATCTCCTAGAAGCTGACCCTGGGTGTTGAGATTTGACTCCAGTCACCTCACTGTATTAGCTTCCTTAACACACACTTCAGCAGTTGAAATCGAACTGGAATCCTTCGAGGAGTCAGGCAACAGAAGCTATTGTTCCCGTTGACAGCTTAGGCTTTCTCTGCCTCCTTTGATGGATTTCTTACATTTGGGGTTGCCATGCCAGTTCTCCTCCCCACCTCGTTTTATGATACATGGCCACTTACTCTCTTCCAATTCCTAGGCTTGGGGTAAAAACAGAACCCCTGAAAGTGCTGTCATTTTTTCCCGACTGCATCCCACAGCTACTGGGTGGAAGCTTCTTGCAGCACCTGGGAATTCTACCTTACCTTCTCTGATGGTAAAAGACATCTGTAGAGAATACAGTTCTATAGCAGCTGACATACTTCAAAGGCCAATACCATTCATTCTCCACTGTTTGTTGTTGTTTACGTACACCCTCAATAAATGGTTCTTTAACCTAAGGCTGTTACTGCTTGTGCTTTCTCCACACTATACCTATATTTCCACAATGCAATTATCTCATGTTGGTGCCCTAACATAGAACCAATCCAAGTATCTCAAGTGAGAACCAATTTAGGGCAGGAGGGTTTTTGCCTCTTAGGCCCATGGCACCTGGCTGGGACTTTTTACCATGTTTTTTATACTTCTTAGATACATTTTTTAAGACCTGTTAACCACAGGGAGAGTCTTGGACCTCAACATTCAGCCAAGTCACCCAACATGCCTTTATGGAAGTAACCAAGCTACTATTTTCTTTCTTTCGTGGCCAATGCGGGGCAGGGGGTCAGCAAATAGGAGCATAGAACAGGATTTCCCAGGAAGCATAGAGACAGCTACATTAATTCTACCTCCAGCTCTGCTCTCAAGGGATGTTGCCACCTAACAATAGCACTGAGGCTCTAGAAGAGGTATGTCAGTAGAGCTAGGGTGGGATATATAGGAAGAACCAGACCTTCCCCATACAGTATAGTACTACTGTTTAGAACAATGTTTCCTACATTTGAAGACTTATTTGCTTATTTCCTTTGCGTCTTTAAAAATCCAGATTTCCAGATTCCACCTCAGACTAACAGAATCATTGTCCAGTAGATGGGTCTATAAATATATATTTAAGTTCCCCAGGATTCTTTCAAGGCAAATTTTGGGACTTCATCATAGGGGTACATCACCCCACGCCACACTAGAAAACTTTTTTTTTTTTTCCTTTGAGACAGTCACTCTGTCAGCCAGGCTGGAGTGCAGTGGCACCATCTTGGCTCACTGCAACCTCCACCTCCAGGGTTCAAACAATCCTCCTGCCTCAGCCTCCCGAGTAGCTAGGATTACAGGCAGTGTGCTACCACGCCCATCTAATTTTTGTATTTTTAGTAGAGATGGGGTTGCACCTTGTTGGCCAGGCTGGTCTCGAACTCCTGGCCTCAAGCTATCCGCCCGCCTTGGCCTCCCAAGGTGGTGGGATTACAGGCATAAGCCACCGCACCCAGCCTCACACTAGAAAACTTTCAATTCCAAATTGGTATTTTGAACACGTCAGTGGCGATGGCATAGGCGTGACCAGGAATCCTGTAATGGTGGATTGGTAACTAAAGATCTAGGAACATGGCAGAATGTTATTTGGGGCTGGGGTGAAGAAAAGGGAGAAGTCAGCAGTTAGTACTACTCAACTTACAAGTTGGAAACTGTGAACCAATTTCTGACTGCTGCCTCAGAAAAGAAATGCATCTAAGCCCCTTCCTTAGTTTATGTTCCAGATCAAAGAATATGAGAAAGAAGAGAGAATTATATTAATACTGTCCCCTGCAGAGAAATGTTCAAAGCTCCTAGGGGAACAGGCAGTTTCTTTCAGTGCCCCTCACTCTATGCCATTCCTTAGTTATACTGTGGTTAAAGTTCCTCGGCCTCCCTAATGTTCTGGTCAGACATCATAGGTAGTTGCAAGGTAGGTCTAGTGTTGCTCTGTTCCTTCCAGTGGCTCCTCTCTTTGGAAGAGCTTTTTCTTCCCTCAATAGCATTTTACATCTAATTGGTAACATTCAAAAGCCACACCAATATTTCTTCAGCATTGTGTTTTACTTTTTGGGGGAGAGGCTAGGAGGAGGAAGGGGTGAAATCAGGGTCTCTTTGGAGTCTCAAAAGTGTATGAATCCTCTGGTAGTACAAGGATGGGATAAGATGGTCAGGGAAGTCAGATGGAAAATCCCCAAGATTCTTTTTGCTACTGATTTCTATAATTAAAATATGACATATGTAAGGGACTAGTACATGGTATTCAATAAATGTCAGCTGTCTTTCCTAACTAGGTTCCTCACAGGCTAGGTTATGCCTAGATATCATCCTCCTTTCAGGGAATGAAGCTCACCTAGAAAACTAGGGAACTAAAAGTGCAATACAGTTTGGGTAATTCAGTTGGTTAGCTGTCTCCCCATCCTCCCAACTCACTATTCCAGGGAGGGGCTGAAAATAGAAGTGGCTCTCCTAAAGTCTAGTTAGCATGTCATGGCAGAGTTCACATGAAGGGCTGTGGGCTGCAACTTTCTAGTGCACAGTCCTCTCTTTTTGGCGATGGTAATCTGAAGGAAAGAAGAAGAAAAGGAGGAACAGAGCAGGTTATCTTCACACTTGAGCTCCCGATTCCCTATCCCCAACTTGTAGGGCCTCTAGCTATCAGTATTTAAAGAGTTCTTACTTACGGCCCTGTCAGGAAAGTGAAAAAAGTGGCACTTACTATAGGGAAAGAAGCGGACACGCATGCTGATTTCACGAGCTGTCTTCAGGATCTCAACAGCCTGGAAGGAACACAGCAGCTTGTACAAATGAAGAGATATGACCCAAGACAGAATCGTAACATGGGGAAAGGGATTTGCCACTCCAACCTCTGTATCACTAATAGCTGCTTCCCTCTGGTACTTTCCCCAGGAGAGGTGCTTACTTTCTCTATTTTTTTTTTTTTTTTGAGACAGGGTCTTGCTGTGTTGCCTGGGCTGGTCTTAAATTCCTGGGCTCACGTGATCCTCCTGTCTCAGCCTCCTAAATAGCTGGGATTACAGGCATGTACCACAGTGCCCAGCAAAATGCTTTCTTATTAAGTTACAGATTAGGCTACTCCTGTCCAATATGTCCTATTTGAGATGGCTTCTTGCAGCACCACAGCCCAAGTACTGTGCTCACCTTGCTGTGCTCAATATCTTGGAAATCCACATCATTCACAGCTAGAACTTGGTCCCCTTCCTGAAGTCCTGCTCTATGTGCATCAGAGTCAGGAATTACCTGTTGGTAAAGAGAGAATACATGTGATTGGGATGCGATAATTGCAGAAGACTGTCAGTGAAATTCGGTGCTATTCAAATGTAAGGTGCTATTGTTTTTCTGTGATAATCTATGCAGACAGATGGCCTGCCAAATGAAAAGTTTAAAGTGGGAAAGGGGGTGTCTCCATTATACCCCTTCTATGAATCCACTGAGTCATCCTCTCAGCCTTTGGGACATTAGGGTTCTGCAATCTGTTAATTTAACAAAGGGAGGTAACTATCCATATTGCCTACTGGGCATAAATACCTTGGAGATGAAGATGCCTAGCTGGGAGGCCTTTCCTCCTCGGATGTTAAATCCCAACTGTAAGACAAGAGCACAGAATGGGGGCTCAATAGAGACCACAAACACAAGAACAACTAGTAGCATCATCGTGCAATAGCTCAGCTTGTGTGTCCCTGAGAGGAAAGTCAGAAGTTGTAGAAGTGTTATCTCAGCTTTTCTGTCCACAAGAAGGAAAGTTTCCTCACATCTGCACCTGCTTTCCAATCCATCCCCCCAACACTGCCAATTTCTGGTATGGATGAATCTAGCCTGGAATAAGGTTTCATAAGTTCACCTGAGCTCCAGGAGGCTTCTTCAGTGTGATGGTTCGGGGCAGAAACTGGGTCAACTCATTGTTGTAGTCTGGGTGGTGCACCCTCTGCAAGACACAGCAACCCCAGAAATTTTACCAGTCTTACTTCATACCTACCTTCATTTGGATCACTAATGAATCACCCTGAAGTCAGGAAAAGGAAAGGTCATAGACTTAATTTAAGTAGAACAGATAACACTGACTAAATGAGTAGATGGACAGCATTGGGACAGCCCAGTAGCTCCCCATTTCTTCACCTTTTTTTTTTTTTTTTTTTTGAGATGGAGTTTTGCTCTTGTTGCCCAGGCTGGAGTGCAATGGCTTGATCTCGGCTCACCGCAACCTCCGCCTCCCAGATTCAAGCGATTCTCCTGCCTCAGCCTCCCTAGTAGCTGGGATTACAAGCATGTGCCACCACGCCCGACTAATTTTGTATTTTTAGTAGAGACGGAGTGTCTCCATGTTCGTCAGGCTGGTCTCGAACTCCCAACCTCATGTGATCTGCCTGCCTCGGCCTCCCAAAGTGCTGGGATTACAGACATGAGCTACCGCGCCTGGCCTTCGCCTCTTAACAGTATGGAAAGGAAGGCTCCAAATTTCCAGAATTAACCGGTGTGAATAGACCCCAGCAGGAGGCTTCCACAAAGAAGTTCCCAATGGGTCCTGTTGCTCAGAATCCAGCTTCTGGGTCTTCTGGCTACAAGTGCTAAGATGCACTCTCCATGTCGCCTTCTAACCCTGCCATCCTACCTTTCATGCATCATCTCATGCCCAGGGGGAAAAAATCTCCTACTCAGGAATATAGATGGTTCCCACCTCATGAGGAGGAATCCATGCTGGAGGATTCTCATAGGCAGGCAAGAAAACCACCGGGTAGTCATCATAAGGAATCCGGCTGTCCATCTCGGGCAAGGCCCTGGAAGAGTGAATCAGAACAGACAAAAAGTGGTTCAAAAGGGAGAGCAGCCCAGCAAGTTTCAGAAAGCAGCTCCAACCCATTCCAAGGCAGTCAGTCTACGGGCACAGCCCACATCTAGGTGTTAAGGTTGGAGGAGAGCAGGAAGGAAAAAGAAAACTCTTAACTTAGCTAAACATCTTCTGGATGCCAAGCAACCTGCCAGGTACTCTAGAAAGAGGACCTCATTTTTCACAACAATCCTGCAAAACAGATGTTACCGTCTTAAACCTGGAGAAGAGGAAATCAGGGTCGAGTCTAAAAAGATCTACTTTCGAAGCCCAAGCGAGTGTTAACTATCCGCAGGGACTCGGGGCAAGGCACCGCCCCACATTTCCTAGATGCGATTAGTAATGGTAGGGTCCCCAGATCGACCCTTCCTTCACCTGACCAGCCACCTCCCACGTCCCCACCCCACATTCTGCCTGAGTCCCGCGCTCTCGGCCGCATAAACGCCGCACCACCTCACCAGTGGGCAGTCCACAGCGACCTCAAACTCCGCTCACCGCCAATTCAGTCTGGGAACCGGAAGCGGATGCTCCGCAGGGTGGAAAAGAGGCCGGGCCAGGGTGCAACAAACTGACCCTCCCCTTCCCACCGCGCCGGCCTGCGCGCGCCGACGTGCGCGCTCCGCCCTCGGCAGTCCGCACTGCAATTGGTTGGCGTCTCCGGAACGGATTTGAAACTTGGCGGTTAAAGCTCCGTCTGGGACAGGGCGGCTGGAGACCCGTGGAGAACGGGGAAGGGACATTTAGTTTGGTGAGTTACGGGGGCACACCTTAGCTCAGAACCTGTTTCTTCCCGGTACCCTAGGGTTTTGGTTCTTTGTCGCTGTCCCCGTTGGAGTTTTTTCTTTGCCTTTCAGACGCGCGTGCACTCTCTTTAGAGTGCAGGGCTGACGGACGGTCCAGCCCTGGCCAAGTCCTGGAGAGTGAATCTCCCAAGGCAGTGTTCCCGCTGAGAAGGGTCGGAACCGAGGAGGACGCCCTCCCACCCCTGCTGACCTGCTAACATTCATCAGCGAGCCTTCTTTTTCCCCCTCGCAGAGACGGTGCTGAGATAGGATCATGAAGGAGGAGGTGAAGGGAATTCCTGTAAGAGTGGCGCTGCGTTGTCGCCCTCTGGTCCCCAAAGAGATTAGCGAAGGCTGCCAGATGTGCCTTTCCTTCGTGCCCGGGGAGCCTCAGGTGCGTAGCAGAGTCCAGAGCCTGTGTCTGAACAGCTGGGGCCAAATGGTAACGAGGGGTGTGGTCTTGCCTTTCATTTCTTCCCTTACGCCTTGTCCCTTGCCTTCTCTCTAGGTGGTGGTTGGTACAGATAAATCCTTCACCTACGATTTTGTGTTTGATCCCTCTACTGAACAGGAAGAAGTCTTCAATACAGCAGTGGCGCCACTCATAAAAGGTGTATTTAAAGGTGAGGCGATTTGATTCCTCGATCATAGCATATATATTCCTTGAGCATATACGATGTGCCAAGCACTGTGCTTGGGCGCTGCAAATACAGGAACGGATGAATCATGATACGTGACTTCAAAAAGCCCTTAGTCTAATAACATTTGTGAAAGTCTCTCTACCCTTGAAGCTAGTTTTATTCTGTATTTGCTCTATGTGGTTCTGTTCATCTTTGACTTGTATATGTTTGTGTTTATCCTGGAACTTCATTAGATTATAAACTCTGTGGTGGTTGCTGAAGGTGATAAGCGTGCCAGCCTACTTGAGGCTCAGGCACTGCAAAGCTTGTTGAGGGATTCAGGTGACAAACAATATAGCTTCGAGGCCCTCAAAGTCGAAGGAGTTCAAAGTCCAGGGAATAGGAATGGAGGTAGATGATTACATAAATTATTTTGAATATATAAAAATTTTTAAATTTTTTGTACTTACCTTTTAGAAGAAAAATTTTTCAAGTTAAAAATATACAACAGAGTGAGTCCTATAGAAGTAGCTCTGCTCTCATACAAAGTGGTATGAAAAACAAAAGGATGACTCTAACTCTGCTTGGGGAATTTGGGGTGAAATTCACAGAGTGGGAAAACTTTGAGATAGGTCTTGAATAACGAGTATAATTCTTTTAGCTGGAAAAGGGGAGTTCCTAAAGCCTCTGAATACTATGACCAGTTAATAATCTTTATTGCGGAAGCTAAGTCTTTAATGCTGTTGAAGACCATAGCAGGGTTCTAAAGAAGGGAGCAGTGCCTGAGAGATGTCTAATTATTATTCTAATACAGTGGTTATTCAAGATTCAAAACAGAGGTTCATATACAAGAAGTAGAATCATGGCATGCTAGTGCCTTAAAGTTGAAAGAGACATTTGTATATCATCTAGTTTGTTTTTCATCCAAAGAAAAATGCATTCTAACAATATCTGTTAGGTGAACTGCCAGTGTCTAACAGGGAACTCACTGACTCACAGGTAGTCCAGTTGAGATTTGGGTTTTGGACTAGTCTAATTATGTTATAAAGATCTTTATATTGAGATGAAATTTGCTTCCTGATAAGTTCTACCCGGTGATGTTAGTTCATCCCTTTAGAAGCCTTCTTCCAGGCAACAGCTATTCACATATTTTTTCACGTTTTTTTGTTTAATGATTGGCTCAGGGAACATTGAAATTTTTGTTTCAAAATTTTAAGATATTAATGCAATAATTTCAAACGTATGGAATGTTGCAAGAACAGCATAAAAAACATTTTTTCCCTGAACCATTTGAGATGAGTTGTTGGCCTGATACCCCCCATACTTTAGTGTATATTTCCTACAAAAAAAGGACTTTCTTCTAAGTTACCACAATACAGCCATCAAAACAATAAAATTTGCACTGCTACATTACTACCATCTATTCCTGAAACCCCATTGAAGTTTCACCAATTGTCCCAGTAAATATTTTATGGCAAAAAGATCTAGTTCAAAATCACATGTTTTATTTAGTTTTGCTGTCTGTTTAGTCTCCATTCTAAAACAGTTCTTTAGTCTTTTTTTTGACTTTTATGATTTTGACATTCTTTAGTCTTTTTTTGACTTTTATGATTTTGACACTTTGAAGATTACAGGCCAATTATTTTGTAAACCGTTTTTCAATATTGTTTTGTCTGGTGTTTACTTATGATTAGATTCAAGTTGTGTATCTTTTAGCAGGAATATCACAGAAGTGGTGCTGTTTTCTTCTCACTGAAGCCTATTGGGCAGCACATGATTTTGATTTATTCTATTACTACTGATGTTCATTTTGATCATTTGATTAAGGTGTTAATCTGCTGGGCTTCTCCGCTATAAAGTTAATCTTTTTCCTTTTTACATACAGTATTTGGAAGACCGTTAAATGTTTCTATCTAATTCTCTTCTCTTTAATTATCCCCGCCTTTCCTTTAGCCATTCCTGAAACAATATGGTTTTCAGACCCTTCAATGTCTGGTCAGATTCCTCAGGCTATCCCTCCACAGCTTAGTAAGAGCACCACAGTTCTACTTTTATATTCTTAACTTGGGAAACTGATAGAATTAAATTATGTTCTTTAAAGGCAACATAAAGTAGAAAGTGATTCCAATATACATGTGTTTGCTTAACATTGCCCTTGGTTGCAAAAACAAAGCCAATATTTTTTATAGTCAGCTCAACAGCACCCTCTTGTACTCTGAACTCCTGGTACCACAGAGCCCTGAATATTTTGTAAAAACTACTAAAACCTCGTTTCCCAAGTTATTGCTATCTACGTATATCTGTGGTATTGCAGAAAATTATGAAATGTTATTCTCTTGCCCCATAGTCATGCCAGCTACTACCAGCGATCTATTACAGTGAAAATCTCAATTTAGCATCTTCTTATGATCTTTCATTTAGACCAACAAGTTCTTTCAAAACTTCAAAGTTTTCATTTAGATTAAAACATTGTTTCAACGTTTAAAGGGTTTTTTCCTTCAGACTGCAAAATTATCTTGGTAAATAGCAGATAACAGCTTTGACAAAAATATGATGATCATTTAACAGAGAAAGCTTGCTTTGTGTTCCTTGACAACATGTCTGCCACACTAATAAGCGACAGACTTTCCTAAGGTCATTATTTTTTTCACCTTGAAGTAAATTTGGATTTGTAGTTCCTTTTAGGTGCCATGCTTATAGTTTTAGAAGCTACTACCGTACAATTAAGTAGCAAGTTATAATCATGCATCAGTTAATGACAGGGATACCTTCTGAGAAGTGCATTATTGGGCGGTTTTGTCATTGTATGAACATCGTAGAGTGCATGTATACAAACCTAGATAGTATAGCCTCCTATACACCTGAGCCTACTGCTCCTAGGCTACAAACCTGCAAAGCATGTTACTGTACTGAATACTGTAGGCACTTGTAACACCGTGGAAAATATTTGTGATCTAAACATAGAAAAGGTGAAGTAAAAATACAATATGAAAGGTAAAAGCTGGTACACCTGTATAGGACACTTACCGTGAATGGAGCTTGCAGGACTGGAAGTTGCTCTGAGTGTGTCAGTGATGAGTGGTGAGTGAATGTAAGGGCCTAAGACGTTATTGTATACTACTGTGGGCTTTATAAACACTGGATACTTAGGTTACACTAAATTTATTAAACATTTTTTCTCTCTTCAATAATAAATTAACCTTAGCTGCTTATAACTTTCTTACTTTATAAACTTTAATTTTTTTAATCTTTTTGACTTATTTGTAATAATGCTTAGCTTTAAACACGAATACATTCACAGCTGAATAAACATTTTCACTCTTTGCATCTTTATTCTGTATGCTTTTTTCTTTTTTTAAAAAAAATATATTTTTTTACTTTTTAAACTTTTTGTTTAAGACCCAAACATGCACGTTAGCCTAGGCCCACCCAGGGCCAGGATCTTCAATATCACTGTCTTCCACCTCCACGTCTTGTCCTACTGGAAGGTCTTCAGGGACACTAACATCCATAGAGCTGTCATTTCCTATGACAACAATATCTTCTTCTGGAATACCTCCTGAAGGACCTGCCTGAGGCTGTTTTACAGTTAACTTTATTTATCATAAGTAGGAGTATACTCTTAAAATGATAAAAAGTATGGTATAGTATACTAAACACATAAACTAGTAACAATCATTTATTATTATAAAGCATTACATACTGTACATAGTTAGATGTGCTATACTTTTATATGACCTGCAGTGAAGTAGGTTTCTTTACCCCAGCATCAACACAAACATGTAACATGTTGCACTGCAGTGTTATAATGGCTAAGTCAAGAAGCAACAGGAATTTTTCACCATCGTAAATACATTCCACATGATTGAAATGCTATTATATGGCACACGACTGTAACATTTGAAGTTAAAGTGAGAATAACCTATCTATTGTCTAATTGTTTCTTTATAAAATCTTGCTACAGTTGTTTATCTTCCTCTAGCTTCAATCTAAACTTTGAATTTATGGGATAAAACGAAAATGCCCACCGGGCATGGTCGCTCAAACCTGTAATCTCAGTACTATGGGAGGCTGAGGTGGGCAGATCACTTGAGGTCAGGAGTTCGAGACCAGCCTGGCCAACATGGCGAAACTCGTCTCTACCAAAAAATACAAAAAAATTAGCTGGGCGTAGTGGCGCGTGCCTGTAGTCCTAACTCTCCTGGAGGCTCAGGTGGGAGGATCACTTGGGCCTGGGAGGCGGAGCTGTGATTGCACACACTGCGCTCCAGGCTGGGTGACAGAGTGAGACCTTGTCTCAAAAAAATGGGGAGAGGGAGTGCTGAGTAACTAGTAATTTGGATTATCTGACAAGAGAAAATATAAAAACTAATCTACAAAATAAACATTTTTACCAGAACTAAGCCCAAACAGAAATATACTTTTTATTGAAACTGAATCTCCCTCGGTGGCCCAGGCTGAAGTGCAGTGGCGTGATCTCGGTTCACTGTAACCTCCGCCTCCTGAGTTCAAGCAATTCTCCTGCCTCAGCCTCCCCAGTAGCTGGGACCACAGGCACCACCATTACACCCAGCTAATTTTTGTGTTTTTAGTACAGACAGGGTTTTGCCATGTTGGCCAGGCTGGTTTCAAACTCTGACCTCAAGTGATCTGCCCGCCTTGGCCACCCAGAGTGCTGGGATTAAAGACGTGAGCCACCACGCCTGGCCAATAAACTCAAACAGAAACATAC